GGTAAACGCAACAATGGCTTTACGAAAATCATTAAGAATTATTATTTGACCACGTATGTAATATCATATTTTCAAATCGAGAAACTAGTTCTCGCTCGGCAATTTTTTAAAGTATGCGGAAAAATCAAGACAATGTGAACACGCACGTTACTTATTTGTTGCTATATGTTTTTTGTTTTTGTTTATTTTTTCACATTAGAGATATTGCTTTGAAGAGCTATATTTTTTTTGGTTCCATGTCACGTCAATAAGAACTGGTTGGTTCCGTATCAAATTCGTTCGAAGTTTGCCCCCAATTGTTACTACTACATACTCAACCGAAAAAATAGTGACTAGCATCTAATTTCTCCTTACAATATCACCCATGAATCCCACATCAAGGTCACGAGAATAACGAAAATGATCACTAACTAAAGAAGCTATTGATTGTTAAGCAAATTCTCTTTGTCAGCACCTTAAGACACATAAAGAGAACAATATGGAGAAGATACATACTGATTTTAGGCTGTCAAGGCTAAACTGAAGTAAAGAGTCGGTGAAAAACTTGACGAGAATTCAAAAGATTTAATACCACTACTTAGGCTAGAGTTTTTCTTTGATTTCATGAGGCCAACCCCTTGTCCAGAAATTAAATCCCTTGCAGTAACGAAACCTCAAGAGATTTTAGCAGTCACTAGTACCATACGTACATTTTGACGGCCACCTATACAAACTTCTAATGCTACAGGAATGTGCCCGGTTATTAACAATATACTCATACGGTCAGTTACAATTATTTACTGCAATTAATTTTAGATTGTTATTCAAAAATTTTCTCCTTGAGCTTCAAACACTTTCGATGCATTCGATGCAATGAGGATTTTCATAACCAGGACACGTCACGCTGCCTTTATTTCAAAACAATGCTGGCCATAACACGTAAATTGCGGGCTTCATTGCTGGCTTCATTGCTGGCTTAGATATTATGGCTGTATAAATACAAACACACCAGTGACCTATTTACACGACCTCCTTCCCGGCTTCGATCTTGTTCATCTCGTCTTTGATTTCCAAACATTTCTTCAGCAGGACGTCACTTGTTTTCGAAGTGGGTTTCCCAAAGAGTTCAGGGGCTCCAACTTCGCCTTTACTAATACGGTCGAAAGTGTTGATAAGATCGTAACAAATCGTTTCGCTGACAAAAGAGTCCTTCCTGTAGTCAGGATGCACTTCAACGAACTTTCGCATCCATTGTGCTGTGGTCAGCAGTTCACCTAACGCATCGAGAAAGAGACTTTAGTCAGACTTTTGACCGAAGAATTTCACGCCCACCAAGGGCGATGTAGTAAATTCACATCATGCAAAGATTACAATCAGAACACTGATATAGAAGAATAAAGGACCCAAGACCTTTAAGTCAGTGGGATGTACATTCACACAGTTTCTTAAGCAGTTCAAAAGCCGAAGAGACAGTCTCGATTTAAGTAACATTCAGGCCCTTGTTGTTGGTTTACAGCTATCCACTAGATAAATCTCCATCCGGTGGATAACGCAGCCCATTTGCTATCACTTGATCCGCTAGAGAGCGATTTATCCCATGGTTTGCTTTATTGCCCTTTGTACAACTGAGCCCTAAAGGGTACTGTGGCTGCTCATGAACTGCGTAATTCGTGATATTATTCGAGTAGCAAAATAAGTTACTCACCAGACGCTCTCTTAGAGATGAGCTTCAAATACTGCGAGATGGTGCATCGCGTGTCAATGTCGACATCCACGTTACTAAGGTAACTCTCCATCAGGGGTATCAGACCAGGAAATTCACCTTCCTGCAAAACAACAGCATTGAATTTCAAGGACAAGGTCACTCCAAAAATCGCATACTTATAACTACCAATAAGTTGTTACTATTAAGCCGAGTTAGCTACCGCTTTTCAGCTTCCAAAGTTGCTCCGATCCTAGTGAAAATTCACTTCGAAGTTGCAAACGCGCGCCGCCCCTTTGAATAGCTAGTCAGCTTCGGTGTGACGTCAAACCGTCCAACTTTTCATTACTCCCCGCGTGTTTGGAGTGTTTACCTTTTGATCGTGGTCATGACGGTTCTTAAACCGTATTGTTTCAAGCCAAAACGAGCTCAAAATGTGGAAGAAAACAACGACAGAGAAGGTGAAATGACTAATCTATTTAAGCTAATACGGATAGGTGTTTTTGTGAAAACAACAATAATCCCCTAACACAGAGCACTTAACGTTTTCAACCTCGCTCACCTTTCCATTTATTATCTTGTCAATTGTCATCAGTTCATACTCGTCTTTGCATTTTTCCACCTCTGAATTCTGTGCGCATCCATTGACCACGGCGGGACCTTGGAAGAGAGAGAACATTAAATAAAACAGATGTTCAATTATTAACCACTTTTCTCCCAAGATGTTGAATATTTTTCTAAAAGCTTGTGACCATACATTTCTCCATTGGTCATTTCTAAGAATGCGCTTTTATACTAAGACAACATCCTGTGATGGACAACTTGTGGAGTTACGTTGCTTTTACAAAAAGGGTAGCACGACAAAGCATGGAATGCAACTTTTTAGTGCGTTTATTGTTATTACTTTTTTGTTTTGTTTTGTTTTTTTTTCACTCACATTTCTTCAATGTCTTCCGGAAGTAAAAGTGTCCTTGGCGGGCTGCATCTCTCTTCTGGGCGGTGACCATGTTCTCATCCACCTAAGAATACAATAAAATATCTTTACTCAATACATTGAAAAAGGAAACTCAATGTTAGGACGACTGCTGTTTATTGTTTGTTGCTTTTGGTTACATTTAATTTTGCGCAGAAAAGGATTATATTTGTCGCGCACATGTACGTGGGTCGACAGAAAACGCCGGAGTCTTGCGCGTGGCTTCGGACCTCGCCTGGTAAACAATGTTGCAAGTGGATGCTCAACTATTAATGCCTCTCTCTCTACGATACCACCAAGTCTAAATGGGCACTGGTGAACTTCTACTGGGAATCTTGGAAAAAAAAAACAAAACAAAGAAACTGGAAAGATAAGGGATCACCGTTGTAGTCTTTGTCGCTTAATGCTACAGAGACCGAGGCTAAGTACCGGCATTTCAAGGCCGCGTAGCCTCTCAGACTTCAACTCGAACTGGGCCATACACTAGATTGATTTTTTCTAATTTTTGGTATAGCTTCTGTATGCTCGGACGCGTTGATTAAACCTACGAACGGGCAAGATCCTTTCCTCAGTCATCATCTCAAAAACATTGTTCTTTCATTGAATAAAGGGGGTCAGTTTCTAAAGAAACTGTGGTGCTGCGTCGGTGGGAGTAACGAGGTCATTTGGTATTATCAACTCAGTTGATAAAAATAGACTCAGGGCCACCGTAAAGAGTTCAAAATCTGACGTTTCGAGGATTAGCCCTTCGTCCATGCCGCTCTGACGAAGCCGGGTAAACGCTCGCAACGTCAGCTTTGAAACTTTTTACGGAAGTCAATTTACTTTATCAACTCAGTTGATAAAACCAAAATTACATAGTTCTTTCATTGTTACCTTGGATAAAGGAATCAGAAGATTGAGGTCGAACGACAAAATTACTCGGGTAAGAAGTACAACAAACGTCACATAGGCGGCATTCTCGAAGTCTGTCAGTTGAACCTGAAGAATCAAAGAAACAAACAAAGAAATTAATCATCAGAAATATCGGTGCCTGAAATATATCCAGTGACGGTCGGGCTACCTTTTCATGTTATAAACATGTTCGAAACACCATAGATACATGTTCACATAGCCCATTGCAGAAACGTGAGAGGACTGGGAAAGTGTGTGGTTGTTGAAATAGCACATGGACCCTTTTACCTCTAGGAGTACCTCGCAGTTAATTTCTCCTTTCGATATCACTTCTAAATCACACAGCAAGGTCAAGAGAATAATAATAATAATAATAATAATAATAATAATAATAATAATATCACCTATATAGCGCTTTATACAAAAGTTCTAAAGCGCTTCACACAAGAAATAGACAATAGAATAATAAAACCTACGATAAAATAACATTCAGAGAGAGAAGTTTTTAGAGATGACTTTAAAAGTATCGACACTGGGGCTACGCCTAATATAGCTAGGAAGGCACTTCCATAACTTGGGGTTGAATATCAATTGGGACATTGTCCTGTTTTCTTCTCCAGTTGCTGATACTATTTTGTACGTGTAACAAATTCAATAAAGAAAGAAAGAAAGAAAGAAATAAAGAAAGAAACTTGGGGGCACATATAGAAGTTTCTCGGTCTCCATAAGTTTTCAGATTTGAAGGAGGAACTTAAAGCTGAAATTTTGATGAAGACCTTAACAACCTATGAGGGGTGTATAAGTGCAGAATATTACTAATGTAGAACGGAGCTAAGTTATTGAGAGTTCTTAAAAGTTATTAAAAGTAATTTAAAAGTAATACGGTGTTCAACAGGCAGCCAATGAAGCTCCCTTAATAATGGCGTGATGCGGTCGTACTTGCGGCCACCTAACTAACTAAAGGTGAAGCTCTCAATTGTTTAAAAAAATTCATCTTGTCAGCACCTTAGGAAATGAATAGAGAACAGGATGGAGAATATGTAACTTCCTACCTCGGTTGGCCTAAATTCCACTCTCCACCCGATGGTGGAGTTGGGAGGAGGCGGTTTGAATCGCATAGTCTGCCAGTTGGTTGACTGGATATTCTGAAGGGAAATAAAAAAAAAAAGAATGCTGGAGTATAAGCAGTGTTACTTAAGATGCAAAAATTTCAGTACACTGAACTAAACTTCATCGGCTGGCCATGTTTATGGGCATTCGGCTATCATGGTTCTTTTTAATTCGTGTATTCGTCATTGTTGCATCACTATAAATGTAAGAGTCAAAACGATCTCGTTTTCATGAATTCCCAGCATTCGGTTTTCAGACAGAAACCAAAAACTCGAAGCAAGTTTGGGTACTTGGTATAAAAATGATTACAATTTTAAGGTATACCGGTATCTTTCGGGAAGAAATCAGGTATATAAGTATCCTATTGGTTAAGTTCTTTATTACATGTTTTTGTTAGCCTTCTGGACCTCACTGTGCACAAAATATATAAAATTCCGATCATCTTGGACCCACTTATCGATTAAAACAAAAATTGAACACAAAAACGTCACGTAAAGATTGTGTACGGTCATGGAATTTCCGAAAAACACTGCAACACCGATGTGTACTTCTTTAATTTTTTCGGCTTTTCTAACTGGTATTCAACTTTAAAAGGTAACAAATGGTTTCAAAAGGAACCCTGTGCACCTCAAAGTGATCTGTGTTCTGTTCGTCATCTTGATAAATGTGCTCATGGAACAAAGTCAAAGGGTCCCGGATGAACAAGTGCGCGTAATGGCGGGCTAACTGATCGTCAATACCTGAAAATGGAAAACAAAACAATGGTAAGAGCTACTAAATTAAAAAAAAAAAAAGACTTTCGAACTAATATCTGACGCGTACACATTTGTAACCTGGGTTATATGTTTCTGATAAGAACAATGGGCCTATTTTCACGTGCGTTAACATAAACACATAATTTTGTCAACTCCTATTGAGTGCACCCGGTTTTTCATTTTCCGAGTATGCGCGTGTCATTCACTGACTAAGACCATATTTCACTTAAATAACCAGGATAAAAATTTACCATCTTCACCTACATCACAGCGAAAAAGCATTACCTATCGACGTTCCTGTCCTAGAAGTATGCAGGAAGTTTGTCACAATGGACTTAAAGGCAGTTTACAAGGTAGAAAAATCGGGTACAGACGTGTCAAAAATGGAGTACGGACCTCACATTTTTGCCCGTGTAAACAATCCGTACCATGTTTTGGGGGATGGGTACGAACCGTGTTTTTTTCTGGTTTTGGGGCCATAGACGTCTATGGTCCCAAAACTAGAAAAAACACGGGTCCGTACCCATAACTCAGCATCACGCGTCGCCATTTTGTTTACAAGAATTATGCATGTTCGATAGCAGCACACAGCTGTACCAAATACTGTAGTCCCATGCAAGAAATTGGTCCGGTCCCCCCAAAACTGCAGTGTAAACGCAACCTTGCTAGCTTGGTCCTTCTGCCTCTTTTTGTCCGACCCGTGATAAAACATCCCCCGTGCAAACGGCTAAAATTATGCGGTTCGTACTACTTTTTTAAACGACCTAGCCTGCCACGAGTCTCGTATAACTCAGAAGTAGAGCATCCAAAGTATTAATAAGAAGGCATTATATTCGACTCCTCAGACTGAGAGCACTTGGAGTTCCTTTTCCCGAGTTGGCCGCGTCATTCTCTGATTAAAATCATCTTTCATTCTAAATGAACCAGGGCGTATAATTAATTTTTTTTTCCGGTAGCCACTTGGCTCCTGAATATTTTAAAGTGGTAGCCAATTCCAAAAAGTTGGTGGCCATTATGACACACACACACAAATTTTTTTTATCCTGTCACTGTACTAGATTTATCATATCATAGTGATACAGTTATACAAACATCAAAAATGAGCCCGCTAAATTCGGACGATCTACAAAGAGGACACTAGAATGGATCATATACAACGTTATAGTTTACCTAAATCCAAGATGGCGTCTAGTGACGGTAGATTTACGTCCGACATCGTGCATGTGCTGCGTTTTGGAAACGAGCTTAACGAGGAACTTTGCTGCAGATTTATCTTTACAAATCTTCAACAATCACTAGATCTCTTGGTAAGGTGTGATTAGAAATTCTAGTCGCCAATTTGGCAATTAATTTTCAGGATTTGGTCGCCAAAGTGAAAAATTTAGTCGCGTTGGCGCCTGTATTAGGCGCAATTTTACGCCCTGTGAATTCAATGACCACAATCCCTTTAGCAACCTCGTTCCCAGGGTCTATTATCTTCCAGCCCCTCTCTCGCTCCAGGGGGCGGGAAAATGAGAGACCCTGGGAGCGAGGTTGATCCCTTCTATATTTTAACAATATAATACAAGATGACCATTCTCTGACTGCAAACAAAGTTTAAACAGATCGCCCTGGAACGTCCTTAATTACTTTCTCCATAAAAGCATCAGCGCCAGATCTACGTATCAGATGAACAAACAACAAGTAGATGTTTACTAACCAGCGTCTATTAGCTGCTGATAAATCTCTTTATCATATACCAGATCGATATCACTGTACTTCTCTCCGTCTTGAGACAGGTATGTACTTATTGAGTCGTACCGTGACTTGGGGATAACGAATCGGTTTTCTTTCAAAGGCTACAAGAAAGAGAATGCTATCATTTCCAAGGAAGAGTTTTGGAAAAGCAATAGTTATGATACAAACTTTGTGCATTAATACGAATAAAATACAATGAGAAGTACAAAAAAAAAAAAAAGAGAAAATGAAACAAAACTTTTTGTTTCCTTATTAATTATTAATTATTAATACGTATTTATACTTAATACGTACTCACCTCCAGACCTCTCTCTTCGGGAGTGCGATCATCAACTGAGCCTGAGATCACGCTCCAGCGGCAATCCAGATCAGACAGGTACCCCCGCAAGATTGGAGTACCGGCGGAGAGCGCCATCTTCAAGAAGAAAAAGAAATGACTAGGTATACATCAAATCACAAACAAACCATAACCCAGCCAACAGGGATATCTTCTCTCCTACTTAAATTAAGTACGAAAGTGCAGCTGAGGAAATCCCATGAAAATTTTTACAATTAAAATGCTCAAGCAAAATTGTTAGCACAACCAGCACATTAAAATAAGAACATTTTTCACTAGGGCTGTTTAAATTCCATTGTACTTACCACGATGGGAGTAACAACTGCCAGCTGATCATATAGAAACCTCGCTTCTTGAATGCTACAGGCTTGAAATGTCATCTGAAATGATCCATATAACCATTAGAAGCTATTGACACGGAGTAATTTTAGTATTACAGCAATCAGAATTCAAATTATAACATAACCAAAGTAAAGCGCGCGCTCTGATTGGTCAATTTAGCGTCCCCCATTTGCCCATGGATGTACGCTGCAGACGTGAGCAAATGCAAAGACTATTTTTCCGCACGCGCTTGTTTTTTCTGGTCACGTAAGATTTGTTAAATAAAAGGGAACTCTTTAGCTACAATGTATCAATGTTATGTTATAAAACAAATTAATGGTAAACACCACAGCGTACACTATTGAGTTATGGATGCACTTGGGAGGTTTGCTAAGCACTCAAGAAGCTGGAGTCGCTCTCGGCTATCGCCTCGAGCGACTCTTACGCTTCTCTCGTGCTTAGCAACCTCCCGCGTGCATCCATAACTCAATAGTGTACGCTGTGGTGTTAGGTTTAAAGAAAAAGCTCCCTGAGGGGAGATCCGTCTAACGGATGTGGATAAGAACCGTATCCTTGTAAATCAATTTCATTGTCTTCGCTGTTTTTTTCAGGGGAGACTTCAAACATGCAGTGTACTTTCTGAATTCGATATGTTTGATGTTTTAGCCAGTTGTGGTCGTGCGTCGGTGGGGGTTTTACGTACAGGATAAATTGGTTTTCTCAACTGGGTTGATACATGTAATGGAAATTGGCCGCTGTAGAGTTTCTAAAATTGATATTTCGAGCGTTCGTCCTTCGCCGGATCGTCGTGACAATCAAGTGCGCGGTGTACACCCGTGGTGTGCACAGTGATCGACTTCCTCAGTTCTGTAGTGTACCTCATTTTGAGAAAATAGGCATCATCAGACAGATACATGAGGCGAAGTTTATGACAGTTACCTGAAGGCAGGACATGCCCATGCCGAAGCCCATGCTGTCTAGGTAAATGTGATCTGGCAAAGCTGCCGCTGCTCCTTCTCCTTCAACTTCAGGAAACTTCTCAATGAAAGGTGATGGAGTGTTTACATCCTTAAAAACTGTCAAAAAAAAAAAAAAATACGTTTACTCAAAGCAGATACATGTACTTGTATGAGTACGAGTTACGAAATGACCCCTGCATGTGAGCTGCAGTGACAGAAATTGAAGGAAAGAACTGAAGCATGGAAAACTGTAATAGTACAAGAGTTTTGACCGACCTCACACCTCTACGTTTGCGACACTTGCGAGTACTACCAAATAAGGTAATAAACACGTGCGAGGCAAATCAGACAACTGGACGCGACAAAAATAGAGAGTTTTCAGGGAGAGTTTTCCAGAGTTTATTGTGAGTTATAAGTCCTCTTAGTGAGTTACTGTGCGGAGAATAAACAAGAAACGAAGAAGATTCCATGGGTTCTGTGTACCGTTGTAAAGAACGGCTCATGGTAAGTACATTGGCCATTTGAAATATGTAGTTCTGGTCAAACCTAACTAAAGGTAACAATTCAGCCTTGAAACCCTACCTAATAGGCTTAAAAACTCTGAAAGTCAAGTATTGGGCTTCAAATTTTGAGGATCAAGCTTAACAAAATTTTGTAGAGGTCTTTTTTTTTTTTTTTTAACAACCGTACACCGAATGCAAATATGGCGTCCAATTTGAATTGCCATTGTTCTGGACTGACTAGCCTCGTCTTCACGTGGAAATACAAAAGGATTATTACATGTGTGAGAGGCTAGTCAGTCCAGAACAATGGCAACTCAAATTGGACGCCATATTTGCATTTGGTGTATTGATCAGCAATTTTCTGGAACAAAATTAATAATTTATTTCACTGCTCAGAATTGCTTTTGTTTTGTTTTGCTTTTCTCATCTTATGGAAACCTACCAGGGATATTGATGGCAACTTTGGAACCTCTCCTCTCTCGAATGTTTCTTGTTAGGGTGCTAAAGGAAAAATACAGTTTAAGTCATCAGTTTTTAGTCTAAAGCATAAAGCATCAGCATGTGAGTTTGGAACCAATTCACCTCTATATTTATAAAATAACTGAGACTGTACAAGTGTCCTGATTGGTAAAAAGCCTATTGTACATTGCACTGGTAAACCCATCGTTATATCCTAAAAGCAAAAGACCACACTTTCCAGTGGTTTACCAGCATAATAACCCATTGGAACGTTAGAAGAACACTCATAAAATCGTCTTTAGTTACAAAATATTTTATGTTCTTCCAACCATGTGGGTTATTAGACCGGTAAACTGTTTCAAAGTGTAGTTTATCGCTCAAACATTTCCAGGTTACATTACCTGAATCTTGGATGCCCTTGGTATATTGCCTGATCAGGAAAAAACATCGAACAGGATGTTCCTCCACCAGGACTGGGGTCAAAGCTTGGGTATGTAAAGTTTGGGCATCCAAGTCTAAAAAAAGAGAAATCAATGTTTCATTGGCATCAGTTAAACAATAGAAATATAGCCTCAAGTAAATAAAATCCAGCAGCTCTTACAAGGTAAATTCTTCAAACTTTTTTAACAATTTTGTAATTTTCATTAACACAAAATCCATATCAGTAAAGCATCTAAGAAAGTAAGTGTGCTAAATCTCATGTATGTATACAGTGTACACAGTCAGTTGAAACATTTTAAATAAGTGTGCATTTTTGAAAAATATGTTGTGAATGGGAAACTCATCCCGTCTTTAAGAAGGGTGTAGCCTCATCAAAACACTTAATAATACATACATACATACAGACATAAATACATACGTTAATTCACCACTCCCTCATAGGGCTTTTCAGGGCCATTCTTACAACACTGTAACCCACCCATCCCACCCCAGGGGAGGACATCCACCACACAGTAATCTTGTGCGTGGGAAATTAACGTCTTCTACCCCCTAACCCTGCAGGAGACAGGAGCTACGGTTTATTCGTCCTTATCCGAGAAGACTAGAATCTCTATCCATTTCTTGATATAATAGAAAGGTAGCAAATTCTCCTCAGTAATTCTCCTCAGAAAGGTAGCAAAGCCTCTCCAGGGCTTGAACCCTCGACTAACTGGGGGGGCGGTTAGCTCAGTTGGGTTATCCCACACCCTTCCTCCCATGATTTGATGAATACAGTATATGTAAACACAGAAAAATATCTCTATAGCTTATTGTTTATAAGTACATATACTTGTATATGTAAAGCAATTCGTGTAATGGAAAGAATTATAAATATAATAATGTTCAGTGAAAAATAATAAAAAATAAAATCATTGTGCAGTAATTAATGGTACACTGTACATTACTACAATCCAGTTACCTGGGAAATCCACATATTGACAGAACAGTTTCTCCAGGTTCTGAGAGATTCTTCAAGACTTCTTCACGTCTGTTGGTAATAACAAAAATTGTACAGTACTTAATTGTGTAAAGAAATTGTACAGTGTACTTCACAGAGAGGAAAGAAAGGTTTGGCAAACAGGTAAACTGCAACACAGAGACAGATCAACAAACCAGTTCATATGTTATCATTAGGACTTATCAGTTTGATTAAGGGCTCGACACTAACAGTAGCCCACTAGTTAGCCACAGACTAATAGGAATTCAGTTTTGGTGAGTGGTTTTCGATTTCCACTAGCCAGTTTGTCTAGTAAACAAACTGAAATTGTTGTAACTTCAGAGGATGTCACTAGCCACTTGGCTAGTAAGTTGAAAAGTTAGTGCCTAGCACTGTTGATTAACTGTGACTTTACCTTAGCCTCATGTTTGCCTCAATCATGTTAAAGTGTCTCATACATCCCCCCAGTGGCTGACCTGGTGTTCCTGCAATTTACAATCAATGAACAAATCAAGTCACAAAATTCCTCAATCTTGTTTAGATGAAGAGATTTTTGGTTCAGATGAATTCAAATATAAATCAAAAGCTAAAGGGGATTCAGGATAAAGAGAAATCGATTTTTACCTTCAACCATGTAGCCTGCATACTCAGGTCTCCATGCAGTCTTGTTGGTCCTGCAATTCAAATTAAATTTATTTATTGCTAAACAAAATAAGGTTTAAAAGTCCAGTACTGTTATTCAAACTTGACAGTTACTTGTACTATGAACTCTCATTTACCTGTAACTACCGGTTTAAAGATAGAAAACAAATCAATGACACTTGAGCTGACCAGAGAATCATGATTCATTACAAAAATGTACCCATGAGAGAAAAAACTTTTGACAGCCAGGAAAATCAAAAGCTTAAGGTTAAACAGGGCTACAAACTCATTTCACTTTAGAACAAAACAAATCATTGACGCTTGAGCTGACCAATGATTGATGATTCATAATCAAAATGTACCCACAGTAGAAAAAAACTTTTGACAGCCGGGACAGTCTGAAGCTTAAGGTTAAAACAGGGCTACAAACTGATTTCACTTTAAAACATGATATGTTTTTCCAATGAAAATACAATGCATTTAGCTGGTAGATATCTACTTTGAGTACATTATTTATTAATCACCTGATTAATAAATAATATTTAATAAATAATATTTATAATCAATTACAAGCTAATCAAATCCTAGGCACTTTTTTACCTGATGTATCCCTATGACATTATTACTGACAGTCACTGCACATCAAATTTCTTTCCCATAAATTTTACTTAATATAGGTGTTAATAAGGGTGTTAACCGACTCCCAGTTAGCTCAATGGATAGAGCGCTGGACTGTTGTGCGGGAGTTAGAGGGTTCGAGCCCCGGCTGGACCAACACTCCGGGTCTTAAAATAATTGAGAAGAATATGCTCCCTTTCTATAACATCAAGAAATGGTTAGATATTCTAGTCTTCTGGGATAAGGACAAATAAATGGAGGTCCCGTCTCCTGCAGGGTTGGGGGCAGTGACGTTAATTTCCCACAGACGAGATTACTGTGTGATGGATGTCCTCCCCTGGGGTGGGATGGGTGGTTAACAGGACCCCCATTGATACCAGTGTTTACTACACTGAATGGGCTATCCTGTATATTATATAGATGTCTAATATACATATAATCTTTCCTCTTCCTAGAATGGTTTTGAGATTTTATGCACAGTGTTCTGCCTTTGCTAGTTTAAGAAGGTTAATATGACGTAAGACCCAGCGAAGAACTAACAATCAGCATTAAAACACCAGTTCATAGAAAAAAAAAAAAAAAGAAAAGAAACCTATATACAATGAAGTGAACAAACTGCAGCCTCATCTCTGGGATCTATTTCTTACTTTGGATTTCTTAATTCCTCCAGTGTCAGTACATCTAGGATTTCTTTGGCCCTCAAGTCAGTGTAAACTTTCTTGTTCTCATGGTCTAGTTTTATCAAAGTGTATTCCACCTGAGAAAAAAAAAGGTTAAACTTTGAGCAAATTTTGTAATTCAATAAGTAAATCGATGTCTCATAGAAAATTACACAAATAATTACATGTTTTGATCAACAATGACATCCAAAAGTGTTAGCTTGATCGACTTGTTTTTGAATTTTTTTCTATAACTTTTATCCATCTCCCCCTTTCCTCCCCTTCAGTGTTACCTGGTGTTCACCAAATTCCAGGCGACATTGTTGGGAAGGGGAATTTGAGAGCGACTTTCAAGTAAGTTATTACAGACGAGTTACAAGGTTTCTGTTCATTATATTAGGTGGAGGGTTTTCTACTACTCAGTAAGGGGAGGCCAGAGCTTGACGCTAACGGTAGGTAGCCCACTAGCCACAGACTAGTAGAAATTCAGTTTTGGCCAGTGGTTTTCAATTTCCACAAGCCAGTTTGGCTAGTAAACAGACTGAAATTGTCGTAACATCTAAAAACATCTAAGATGTCACTAGCCACTTGGCTAGTAAATCGAAAAGTTAGTGTTGAGCCTTGGGAGGCTCTATGCCAATTGCTTTTGTCATTGATACATGTACATACACCTTTAGGTGTTACTGACCAAGCAAGAAGCTGGATATTGGCAGTGGCTTTTTTTGTGTGTTTATGTGGAGTGACAGGATTGAGAAGTCCATAAAAATGAATATCCAGCCATCTTGACTGACCAAGCTTGGTCAACAAAGAATTACTGTACAGAGCAAAAAGATTTGAATAATGACTTGTTCATTTTGAGAGCTAAGACTAAAAGCTGACTGATGGAGTACAACAAACCCATAAGAGTTGTTTACTTGTATGATTTCTTTGTTTAGACTATTATCTTCTACAGCTTTTTGCAACTCCATCTACAACATTGTCCAAAAATTATAAACTTTGAAAGACTGCTCCAGGCAATTTTTTTCCTCGCACAGGATCAAAGCAGGTGTTTCTATGCTGGCAAGATGGGTCAATCTTGCCTGCTCACATAGCCGATCAGAACACAGGATTTGCTTCATATTGCCCTAGGCCACTGACAACTTCATAATGAATGCACCTGTAGGGTAGGTAGCACAAATTGACTGCACATATTTTAGCTCTCACTTAGAAAGTTATAACCAATTAATGAAAGAGGTGCTCTAGTACATACATACATACATACTTTATTTATTCCAGAAGCAGACTATATATACACTAAAAGGAAAGGGAAAAGATGCTTCCAGAAGAGGAAGTTAAGAGGTTATCCCTATGTGAAAAATCCCTAAAAAATAAGTCTAAATGAAAATAAAACAGTTATAATTAAATACTTAAGTACAATTTAAGCTGAGATTTAAATGCTGAAGATTATCAGCTTCCAATATGTTTCTTGGTAATTCATTCCATAATTTAACAATCCTAATGAAAAACGAATGTTTATATTAATTGAGTCTTGCTGGTTTGATGTAAAGTTTGTACTGATGATTTGCTCTTGTACATCTAGTTGTAATGAAATCAAAAAAGTCTCCAAATTCTAAATGGTAAAAACCAAAAAAAAATTTATAACACTCAACTAAAGATAAATAAGCTCTACGGTCGGAAAGAGTAGGCCATTTTAGCAATTTGCATTGGTCTTCGTAGCACATGTCTCCTTTGCGTTGATTTAAACCAAGTCTTATTTGCAAATATAGCAAATAATTCAAACTTAGAGCTGTTAAAGACATTTTAATGCAATAATGCAGCACATTATTATGTTCCATAACAGAGCATATTTTTTTCTTTTGAGACATAACAAGCCTAGGATTAATTATTCATCTTCTGCACAATTGGATTAATAGAGTACATGGTATTGCCAATGGCTGGTCAGGTGACATACAATAGAAAGAAAAGGGTTAAATTCCATGTCAAATTCCACACAAGATTCTTATTATTTCTGATCTATTGTTATAAAACGGTGCTTGATCAGCAAATTGTATGACTAAATTAGGAAAATGACTAGGCAAATTTTAATGAGAATTTAAAACCAACAAAAAACCCCCAGAGTGATTGAAACGGAATTCAAAGTACAAGAGCAAACTCATGTCATTCTTTCGTTCACAAATAAATAAAAATAAAAAAAATAACAAATACTTAACGCATCAAACTTCTAAATTTGTCATCCACTATTATAATTAGGGTCGACATACAGACACTCCAATTAAGAAACATTGATGTTGGAGCAAAATAGATCGAATATTTCAAGGCTCCTCCCGAAGTGCTTAAGCATTTTTCACTTAGTATTTTACGATTTTTACATTAATTTATTGTTCGTCAATCTGGCTAAAGAAGATGTATGTAACAACTGACACGCCAAAAGAGTAAACAATATCTGAACGAATATTTTAAGACCTGCAGCGAAGGGGCTCGCATCCTTGTCGAACAAGGAAAGAAATCACACTCGGTACTTCTCCAAGTAGTTTAGCAGGAAATCTTCAACCAGAACCTTATGCCTTGCAATTTTTTTTTTTTATTGAACAAGTATAAACTAAATAATTAAGCGATTCACCGCTCTTAACTGCACCAATCTATTCAAGATAAAGATGCATTCTGCATACATTAACTTAAAAAAAGAAAACAAAATCGATTTAAAGTACCTCGTCACCCCACTTCAAGCAGTCATTTTCTCGGTCTTTCAGCCTATTGTAGATGTGCAGAAACTGCAAAATACCGTGCTTCCGAACATGATCCGCGTACTGTTTGGTTTCAGACCACGATAACGGAGAACCCAGCGAAAGAAGACCCATGTTTGTTCTTCACCCTACGACCAGCAACAACACGCGAAAATACGAATTACACACTTAGATGAAGACAAACAGCTTGAATCGAACGTGTCTGGGAAAGGACTTCAGCGATTCACTCAGACTGTGCAAAAATTCTTGTTGATTGTTGGATCTTATTGGCGTTGTCACGTTCTGAACTGACTGTACTTCGAAGCTTAAATCTTGTGAAATATATTCCCGTGAATCTTAAATTATTTGTTTACAATTTGCACCGTCAGGGCTTGGCCAAGATTTCCTCCTATCAGCTTCCAAGAGGCGGGTGGAGTTTCAGCGAAAGTGTAAGAGTCGATATGAAATCATCAGAAGAAAAAAAGAAAGCAGCAAGGTTGTGACTCGTCCAAGGCAAGTGGCCAATACCTGAACAAAACAACGTGACAGAATATTTAAAGAAGGCCAATATTGGAAGTTGCGTCATTTGTTTGTCATGTTAAACTTACTTTGACAATCCAAATAATATGGATGGCTCGAGGATGCTACTTTCACAATATGCTGAGAGAAGAGTCTAAAAAGTTTCGTAAAATCTCGAAATCCCTCATTAAATAACCGGTGACAACGAAGAAATCTGTGACTAGCAACCCGGCCTTCTGTGTGTGATCCAGGCATGGGGAAGATAGGGAATGGGATGGGAAATATGAGGAATGGATGGGGAATGGCACGGAGAGAGTAATCTGTACAACCTTAGCACGCAATCATTATCCCGAAACAAGAGCGAATAATAGGTATCATTATTTTCTCTTATTCTCAAAAGAACAAGGCAGCTGCTAGTGAGATGAAAATTCATACTCCGTCTGGATCCGATACAACTTTCTTTCTTAGTTTAATTTGTTTTTTACATGAGTGCTAGACGCAATGCATTTGTAAGAGCGGAGAGCTCGAGAGAGGTGTCACTGGGGCCTGACATGCCAAAACACAATTTTGGGGATTTGGATAACAAATAACAGAGGAGTCGTCTGCATTCCCGCTAATCTCCTTCGCAGCTGTTCAATTTGGGATGTTACGCAACAATTGGTGGATCGTTGCGTGACACCCTAAAGACCTCATTCCTGCAACTTGGAGCAGGATAAGTGGGGTCTGATCAGTTGGCCGCGGCAGGCTGGGAGGGAAATACTATATTGCTTATGTGGTATATCCCTCTGAAAAGGCTTGAGGCTTAGCACTTTTTTTGGTCCAAAAAGAGAAAAAAAAAATAAAAAAAAAGTAAAACAACAAACGAAACAAAACAAGGCAAGACAAAAACAAAAAATAAACATTGCGTCCTAAGTAGGCTAGGCATGTTTGGCATCGATCGCAATTCCTGGTTTGATTGTGTGACAAGAGAAGGTCTAGAGATAGTTTATTCATCTATTTATTTATCTATTTATTTATTTTCATTCTATCAATTTTCAGAAGCCCTTGGAGCGAGCCCTTGTTCTAAACAGAATCGTAAATTGGTGGGTGTAGCATAGTCTTGTGGCTGATAAGTTAAGTTTCATTTTCACACGGTGGGATCTGGGCACGAGATTAGGTGCAGCCCTTTGGTGTCCGCATTTTGAAATCTGCTCGGTCGATATCACACCGAGGCTGCGAAGGAAACGTGCGTGAATTTCTTTCTCGATTTTTCTTTCTGGCAAGCAGTATTGTGTGAGCTCATTTGGAAAAAGGAAAGTGCACATCGCACAACCCAATCTCATAAATAGGAATTTTTCCTTTCGCTTTTTCCCTTCCGAGGCTTGGACACGAGGTTATATACGCTCAAGCGGATATACGGTAGGCCGTGCTTTTTAGGGGAATTATTTTTTTTTCGGAAGTGCAGCTTATGGTGAAATCGCGTAAATGACTCTTTTTCTGACTTCCAATATTGTCCAATTTTTGGTGGAACTGAAGGAGGAACACAAATATTCGATAGACAGTACGTAGTCATGGGCGTGGAACAAACGTTCACGAAAGCAACTTCGTCCCCAGGGCCTCTCTTTTTACCTCGACAGGACCGTAGGAACGACGTCGTTGCGAAAGATCTTGAAACATGCACGAAATGTCACGCGGACTAAGTTTTACTACGTGACATGGATAATTGACAAGCTTTCGGTTTGAATTTTTCTCCCCAAACAGCCAGGAGATTAATTTTTTCGGTTGGCTCTAAAAACAATAAAGAAAAGTGTCATGTAATGACGCCTCGACGTTCTCCACTTTTCATAATTTGGTAAACATCGGCATTTTGAGGTGGGAAGAGAGAGCGGTTTTCTTTCCGGGGGTGAGAGACCGAAAATACCCGAAAGATCTTGAAACATGCGCGAAATGTCACGCAGACTAAGTTTTACTACGCGACATGGATTGTTGACAAGTTTTCAGGGTTAAATTTCTCTTCTCAAGACAGCCAGGAGATTTATTTTCAGTTGACCTTGAAAAAAAAAAAAAAAAAAAAAAAAAAAACTAAAGAAACTTGTCGTGCAATGTCACAATGACGTTCTCCACTTTTCGTTAAACTGGTAAACATCTGCATTTTGGAGTAGGGGAGAACGAAACTTTCTGGTTTACTTAATTACCAGGCTCTCTTTCAGTTTCTCTAGATAGTTGGCAGGTTGGTTTTCGTAATTCTTCAAAGATAGAGAGGGAAAGAGAGATAGGTATTACAGTTAAACAAGAAAGGAGTACATTGTCGTTGTTTATACATAAGCACGTCAAAATGTGGCTGAACAAAATACACAGCTGGCACGAACTTCAATTTCCGTAAACTCCCCCGTTGTCAAACACTACAAAGTGACGTACGTGATGATACCGCCCGGCTTATACGTCACGCATCAGTCCATAAGGGGGGTTCTGAGATCGGTATTAAAGCAATTCCTGCTGATAACCTTTCCTCAAAACACTGTTGAGAGCACTACAGAGAAAATACTGCTAAACGAGGGGGTTGATACGTGTTCCACAATATTTATTCTTCTCAGTTTATTCGCCAAAAGGATGGAGATTTCACAGTTGCAAAGATGTTACTCTACATGTGAGGTGATACTGGAGTATAGCATTATTACTCTTGTGTTTGGGTGTCTGCTTCTGGTGACAATGTCTCTTAAACTTTTAAAAACCACGCAAAATGGCTGGAATCTGGAGTTGCCCTAAAAGAATCAAGCAAAGATCGATCTTACTTGGAAATCGACATACTTTAGATGACTTATTTCAACCACCAATCGATGACGCTTTTGCTTATGTAGAATTCGAATGTCATTTTATTTATCGCTTGCTTGTGTAAACAGTTTGTTAAACTCGACGAGGATTGACTGAAATCCAATATACATCTGCTACGAAGGACCCAGTCCGCGGGTAAGATAACAGCCAAGAAAAGAAACCAACTCGAGCTAACCAGATGGCTCAAGGTGAACAAAACTCAAAACTTCAAGAACTGTCGCGACAACCACTTTATCAAGTAAGCATTTTATCAATACAAGTTAAATTCGATCTGGATTTGGGGGCGTGCATAAAGGTCGATCCTCGCTAAATGATTGAAAAACTGTGTCAGATTGCTTATACTGGAATGGACTCATTTTTTTCTGACGCTAATTTAATCAGACTGCTGAAAGGAGACTTATTAATGGTGATTAATATATTATTTGTTGAGTAACTCAAAAACTGTTGTTAATATCACGATCTGTGTAAGATAAGAAGTACCCAGTTAGGAGGCTGACAGATGAAATTACACTTACAATTTTGTTTTGAGGTATGCGTTGCCCACTGTAGGAATGTCTTTTCTTGTGGACGAAAAAGGCAACATGCTGCTTGAAGCCTGTACGTAGCTAAATATCAAAATTCCTCGACAAACACACGCCAAAAAAATGTTTTCTAAATATTGTAAAAAAAAACAGAGAGTTCGTAACCGATAAATATACTTTATTTATAGAAATTGAAAGAGCTTTTATCAATAATTTCTAAGTTATTTTGTCAAGATCAGACCTATTTACGTCAATGATGTGGGAGCAATAAAATGAGCTATTTATTTGAACTTGGGGTCAATTTTCTTTAGCTGTGGTCTGTTCATGCACATGAAAACTGTTAGGGCGCCTATCCTAATTCAACACTGAGTGACTTTTGGGTGGTAAACGTCAAATAACAGGGAAATAACAAATTGCAGCGAAGGAAAAACGTAATACCCCACTTCCCCCATATGTCACGCCTCGTTGGTTTACCTGACATTAGCCAGCGCTTGTTTTCACTGAACGGAGGTGACGCGATCATTTTTCAGGAAACAAAGTTCACGCCAACATAGACTAGTGCCGTAAATTTACTTTTACCAAGTTTTTTGTTTCCCTTTCAATCAAAGTTATGCCCGGAAGGACGCGGTTTCTTTGTAGCCTTATTGTTCACTGGACGTGATCGTTAGCTTTGGGTAAATCCCCACTTATGTAACAAGTAATGAATTGTTTCAATCGCTCCGAGTCACGTCCGTATGCACGTTTCTTATGTACCTTGGACCTCAGGTGCCATTCTTGAAAGTGCAGCCCGTGATCTTGCACGGGCATCGCAAGTGCAGGTAGCATACAGCTTATAAACTCATGAGAGCAATTCAAACTCGAACGTGACCAAAGTTTTGTTGGTGTTCTCCCGCATGACAGTTGACCTTTTAAAGGAGGAGGATTTGTGGATCAGTTTCCACCCCCAAAATAATCTAGTTATAGTAAACATGATCCATCTTTTAGAGGATCGAGTTTTGTGCCGAATCATTAGGTTTGATGGTCTTAATCTCGGGTATTTCGCATGGCTTGGAGGTCAAATTATTTTTGGGTTACTCTGTCTATTTTTGTAAATTATGACCTCTAAAACATCTTACCAAAACTAAAGCTGCACGAAAAATAAAGGATGGGTTGAAGAAATAAGAATAAGAATTTTTAAAAAAGATAAACGTTGATGATAAAAGAGCTTAAGTCGGGCGAATGGGACAAATGGTTTTCAAGCTGCATAATCCCTATATCCAAGTCTCAGAAACAGCCCCCCCTGTCGGTTGAGGACGAGTGAATTGACGAAGCTTCAGTCAAATACTTCAGCCGGCTTGCTTCATTTCGCAAGTAAATCTTCCTTCAACTTAAACTTTGATCTGTGCAGTTTGTTATTCTTGGCGCTCACGAGTGATTACATTTTCATGAGCAAATTTCAAGAATGTGGTCAATTCATCCTCAGGGGACGTTCTCCCTCCAAGGGCATGTCGTTATTTTCTTCGCAAGGAATATATTTTGGTGTGTGGGGGGCGGGGAGATAGGTTAGTTGAAGGTTGGAGTTTTGCCATCTTTCCAAGCCTGTGCTTCGTTTCTTTAAACTGTTTTTGAGCCTCTGGCAATCGTAGAGACAAGGGTGAGGGGAACGAGGAATTTCTCTCGGGTCTCTTGAATTTCACGCATGGGAAAGCCTTAGCTTAGCACATTCCATTTCGAAACACCGCAAGAACTTACGATTTCTTGAAAGAGAATTTTGGCGTAACCTGAAAGTTTTATTGCCTCTGATGCTTTTCACAGAGTTTTTGTTTCCAAATTATTTTTGTTGAAAATGCTGAAAGAAGCTTTCCTTGTCGATTGGTTCTGGTCGAAGTCTTGCAGAAGTATTAGATGAACCTTCATCTAATCCGACTGCGCCGCTAAAGAGGAATAACATCTCCTGTACTTCAGCTAAAATGAGACAAACTTTGAACTGACCTAGACTAGTGAGTTCATAATGTGTATTTATTTACGACAAATCCGTGAGTTACTTCCGAAGACAGCTTCACCATTCAATCCTATCACGATAAGTTTTAGTTCAACTAAGCAAAGAGCAAACTGCTAACTTACAAGGTGACCTCAACAAAATAAACTGTCGCTTTTGAAATCAGGTTATCAGTACGGCGCTTCAAGTCCGCTCAATAGTGGCACCAAAAAATGTGACGCTAGTTGGGTGAGTTTTGTCTGAAATAGATTGTGGCGGCTAGAATACCATCAATGCTAAAAAACCACAAACTACTCTACTTCTTTGATTTAAAATGGCAATGGCAAGGTTTTTTTGTTTTTTTTCTGACAAATCCAGGTTTGTATTGCTGCGAAAAGCTCGCTTCTCTAATGTCTCTAACAAACACCAGCATAGAGAGGCTGAACAGTCTTGCTATTAACGTGTCTGAGTGCTGAACAGGCTACAAGTGCTTCAGTCTTAACTTTGAGTGATATCATCACTTATCCAGCGAACATGGGTGACTAACTAGCTAACAACCCTTGGTTGAGTCTACCTGTGGGAGTGCGGGACTATTGAAGCTCACCTCAGCCACAGGGAAGCGTTCCAGAAATGTCCTAATCGTTAAGCCGAAGGTCAAAGCAAGAATACTGCAGGTCTGCAAGAAGCTTTTGAGGATAAGGAAATACTGCTACAAGCTTGAAGCCGTATTTCTTGTAAAGTCGAATGGCTGGTGTCTGTGCACTGGTGGTAGTCAATATAAGTTTCTCGAATTGCTGTTCTTTGGCATGTTTGAGCAGCTCGTCGAGCAATTTCCTGGCGATTCCCATTCTTCTACAGGCTGATGATACAGACATCCTCTGAAGTTCAGCGACTCCTGGTTTGTGGCCTTCATGGTGTACAAGCCCAACCATTCCCACAACTTTACCATTCCACTCAGCCACCCACATGTGGGAGCCATCATTGGTCATATAACTCTTTTGAATGTCCTTCAGGTCTGTTGCCAAACAAGAGTTAATAAACTTCCAACACTCCAGATAAACGTCCACATACAAAAGCGACAGCACAACCACACAGGCAAAAATGTAGAGAGGAACAAGCCACAGGGAATATTTCAAAGCAGCAAGAAAAACTAATACGCTCAAGGCCGCGAGAAGCCAGCAGAATCTGGGGAAGACCAGTTGGGTCACAAGCTTGATTAACTGTTCCATTCCTTGGGTGAATATCTCCCGACATTGTTGATAATCGGCACTGTGGTACGGTCTAATTTTTACCTCACCGGAATCAGTTGTTGTTGTAGTTGGAGCCATTCTTCTCTTAGAAACGAATTCAATGGTATTTGACATCATCTGAAAAAATAAACCAAAAAATGAAACACAAAAATATTTAAATTTCCTCCTTCAAGGAAGGGAACTGCTTGCTTCAAGCCAACGCAATCAATGCACCCTTTCTGAACATCTCATTCTCTTTCATATCTTTTCAAATTCCCAGACTATCTCAGCTAGAATTTCCTTTGTTATCGTATTAGTAACGCGTCAGGGATGATTAATAACTTATGTCTGACTTCCCCCGCACTAAACATAGCCAAGGACAACTAAAAACAGAACCTTTTGTGTAAAACTGATAACCAATTGATGAAATGTCAAGTGATCCTTCGTGAAAGAGCGCAGCTAAAATGGCGGCACGCTTGGGGCACATGGAGTTTTCATTTTTCAACACTGACTGTCTGGAATTTCCTCAAGGAGGAATTTCCTCAAGGTCTCGCGACCACTTAAATTGCGCACTTCACCAAAATTAGGTCACGGAACATTCCGTTTTAATGCATGGACTGAGTGAATAGTTGGACTCGATGAAGGCATGCGCACGCATCTTGCAATTTCCTTTTTTTCCTTTCAGTTGCACGGTTTTTTGTTTTCGTTTTTTGTTGTTTTGCTGTTGTTTTTTTTTTACATTCAATCGAGTTTTGAAATTTTTCCAAGTTTCTCTATTTTGACACCTTAGAATGCAAGGGGCTTTTGCCATCCGTCCTATGACGCATCCAATGCTGATGTTTTCCAGTTCCAGAAGTGGTCGAAACAATACGTGAAACTAATATTGCTTATCATTTTTTGTAATTGCAATTGCATTTCCTCTAAGGTAACGCACTTTACTGGTACATAACTTGTATCAGGAAAAAGTACCGTTAGAAATATCAATCTATTAACAAGTACTGTGTTTTTCCCTCTCGTTAATTGTTGTTTTGCAAGATGAACACCTACACGTATTAAAGAGAAGTCGCAAAAGGTTTAAACTTAAATGAAACGAAACGTTCGCCATGAAGCCATGAGGAAAAATTCAATTTCATTTATACTTTTTCGTCGAAAAGAAATAAATTCATGTTGTGATGCGTCACTGACCCTAAATAAGCAAATATCCATGATCTTACCGCAGAACTTCCAAACTGTCACAACCCCGTGTTAATAATTTCTTTAACGCAGATTAATATTGTTATCCAGGCGAAAGAAAACTGAAGATGTATATTTTTTAAATACCTTTATTCTATGCCTTGCTTTGATTCACAAAATAGTGTGATCCGTACGTACTCTGTCAGGTCAGGCCCTGTTCTACTGCGAGTGAAAAGCAAATCAACGTTATTTTTGGCTTTTGCCTTTAAAAAAACAATGCTAGTTAACAACAGCAATTAGTAATGAAGAAAAGAAGCGCTCTTACTTAAAAGAAAGGCTCCTTTCCAAGCTTCGCGGTAACAAAATTGGAGTTTGATGAGGCAGGTCTACGCAAGTAAGCAAGCGAGATAACAAAGAGACTAAATTTGCTTCTTCCCCTTTTTGTTATAGGCTAGAAATACGTGATCTCCAAA